ATAAAAAAAAATACTATCTCTATTGGTACGAGGTCTTTTGGGATGCCCAAAACAAAGTCATGAGAGCTTATGTTCAAAGTGGACAATATCATACCATTATTGATATGTAAATCAACCCAAAGGAAAGTATGGAACGGATTATCTTGATGATCAAGATCAAGAGTAAAGAAAACTCGTTTCTAAACTCTCGTTTCTAAACTCGTGATTCGAATCACTCCACAAGAGGTTTGATCAATACCACTTGAATGACTCTACATGCAAGTTCTAAACACAAAAATCTGATTTCTAATCAAAGAAAAGAAGAAGACTTTATATAGCTTTACAACCTTAACCTATGTCATACATAACTCCCAAATTAAATGGGCTAGTAAATAAGAAATACCCATAACCTCCATATTAAAATGGCTAGTTAATGGTGGAATATAGTAACCTATGTGGGTTACAATATAACCTTAACTCCTATATTTAAAACTAGCTTAAATATGACAACAAATAGTTAAACTATAATTAAATAATGCAAATAATAAAATGTGCTTATTATTCATCCTTGGACTATTTGATAAATTCAGCGGAGTTCAATAAATGCAACTTAAAGTGCATTTAATTCATCTCTGTCATGAAGCTCAACTTTGCATAACATATAAGGGAGGTCTCCAACGTCTTCTAGAATTTCCTTTGGTGAGCTCACCATAGCTTGAATATAACTGTATAAGGTTTGTTGTAGCTTCTTGGCTCTCGTCCTTGTAATTGGACCTTGAGGTATGGAAATTCCTTGGTCGTGGTTCATATCAATTATGGAGAGTCATATTCATCTAACACCGTGCACCCTTCATGGTAGTGAGCATCGTCACGGTTGTTGAACGCAAACGAGTAAGCACTCATTCTTCCACATTGTGTGGGAAGATCCAAAAAAAGAAAAAAATCGTGGGGTTTGGTTTCTCATAAAATGGTTGTGTAGGGGTCGATTCCGTGGATTCAGTCACCCAAGAGACGGTCGCCGGAGGAGCTGTGGGTGGTGAAGGAAACATGCAATCATCGAAAGTAAAACTTAGGCATAAGAAGAAAATCGGGCGAAGAAGACAAGGTTCACTAGTCGAAAGTTGGGTCGGATCTGGAGTAGATACCTGCGGATGATGAGCCGATAACCAGACAATGGCTCACGCACAGCTTCGTCCAACCGACCCCTTTGTGCGCTGCTCCAACGACTAGACTCGACTTTTGACTTAGCTTGGTGGATTATTTGGCTCGTTATAGCATATTTGGTACCATTTCTTACATTTTTTACCTTTTCGGAGTTGTTTTGATCTCATTGGAGGTGTTTAAGGTCAATTTAACCCTCATTTGCTCAAACCAAGTTATTTTGAGCTATAAATTTGAATTAAGGGACACTCTTAACTAGGTATGTTCGTGTCATGTCTTGATACGATCCCGTGGGGAGATATAGGTTAGAGTGAACGATAAGGAGTGCCTCAAATCAACTTTAGGATTATCGAGTAACTTCGGCTCAGGCCAATCAAGTAAGTGGCTCTACCATCGGTTTGGATGGAAGAATTTCTTTATGTATGATGACACGTATCTAGTGGTCGTGCATGTGTCATATGTACTATGATATGTTATGTTAGACTTTGATATGCTATAACATGTCATGATATGTTTGAAATAAGAAAATCTATGATGCACAACCCCTACCCCATGATTTGAAAGAAATAATTTTATAAGAGTTTATGGATGCATAATGATAGAGTTTAATATGGGATGAAAAAATGGGGGTTGTCTTGCATTGTTTATTACAATTGATGGAAAGTATAGAGATCTCATGCATAATTGTATGTTCATGTGCATCGGGATACTTACTCTTTATGATGAATACAGATGCGTACACCACGAGACTTAAATGATTATCATGTTTACCATGATGCTACGACGCTCGAAATTCCCTCTGGGTGTCCGACAACAGCTCAACGAGTGTTAGCCTAACCAACAGGCCTGGGGGCCCACGCTTGTATGTATAGGTTGTATGTAAAGAAGTACTATACATCAAACTTATCCCGGGAAAGTTACCTAAGAGAATGAAATGAAATGATGTTCTAAAAGATAGGTCCTCCATATTGCATGTGATTGCATTCCCGACCTCAATAGTGGGCTCACTTACTGAGTATTTCTTAAAATACTCAAGTTTTGTATTATTCTTATATTTCAAGCAAAGGTAAGACACCATTATACTGATAACGGAGGCGTCGAGTTGAAGACCATGAAACTTGTGTTACGGTAGTTGCAATTTATTTTATCTCAGCACCCTTAGGCTAGTTTGGGGCATTGTCTTTTGTTTTCTCAATTTTATTTTCTAGTTTTTAGATATATGTTTTGGGTTGATTTAAAGCTTTTATTTTTTATTTTTTTTTATTAACATGTAAGTCTACGACATCGTTTATGCACTATTTAAAATGAAGTATTCCGCACTTTATGATCATGTCGTACATATGATGGCGACTCTATTTCAATAGGAAAATAGTTCATTCTTATCTATTCCTATTGTTAGTTCATTAATAATTGAAACAAATTCTATTGGTAGCTGGTTGGCAAGTTATATCCTTTAAGCAATAAGGATATTGTTTATATCTCTATCAAAATTCAACTATTTAAATATTAAGAACACACAAACTAAAATTGTCACAAAATCTCTAAAAAAAAAAAAATACATCTATCTCTTAAATAGTCTCTAGACACTATAAACGTGTATTTTCAACTTACCTTCTGTGTTCGTAGAGCCTCGGTGCTAATCTTCCGTGTCTCATACCTTTCTATCATTTCTTATTTTTCACATCTTGTCTCGGATTTAAATTTAGGGTCAGACTTGACTTATTATTATTTTTTTGTTAGCTGAACCGAGCTATAAAATTTAAATCTCTAACTTTTTAGTCAATAGTATAGGTTAAATATCAGGTTGAAAAAGATATATATATTAATTTTTTAACTTGTATGTTTACCAAATTGGTCAACCTTAATTTTCTTTCTCGTCAACCCATGATTGGGATCTCCATTTTCTCCCAATGTGGAAGCTACGTTCCCATTATAGAAAACCTAACCAAATAATACTAATTGGATAACGATATCTTTAATAATATTATTGTTAATTATGAAAGTGCAATCAATACCACCTTTAAAAATTCACCCAAAAAATTGTTTTTTTTTACAAGTTCTTCCCTCAAATACATACAAAACTAAATAGAAATAAAGTCAACTAAACCAATCAAATGTGGTCTAAAACCATTGCACAAACCCTATTGTCTTTTCCACCAAAAGAACAAAATTGTGAGAATTGAAACAGAAGGTCAAAGATTGTGTACAAAAGAACACCAAACATTTTCAAACACTGAACTATTTGAGCTCAGCCATTCCCCCACGTCTTCTTTTTGGCTATATAACACACCAAAAGTAAGAGAACTTCAATTCTTTGAAATATGGTTCGAACAGCATACATTGTCTTGCCCATTGTCGGGGCTTTTATCATTTGTTTTGTCATGTTGTTGTCGTGTTTGCTTTGCCGGAGGAGAGTTTCTAAGGGAGATGCTAGCAGAGGGAGAAAAAGTGGAAGTTATGTTGAAGGTGGCAATAGAATTGGAATAGTTGTGGATGATGGGAGCTATGTGGGTACAACACCCATGTTTAACGGTGGTTATGGAGGTTGGGGTTGGGATTGGACTTTTAGTAGTGTAGGAGATACAGGCAACGGCAATGGCAACGGCGGAGGAGGTTGTGATGTCGGTGGAGGTGGTGGGGATTCTGAAGTTGGTGGTCGAGGCAGTGATATTGGTCGAGGTGATGGAGTTGGGTGTGGAAATGGAGACGGCAACGGAGCGAGTTTTCACGAGGCAGGTGGTGGAGATGGTGGTATAGCGAGCTCTTTCGACGAATGTGGTGGTGGAGGTGGGACTGTTTCTGATCGTGGAGGTGGTGGGAGTTTTCACATGGATGGTGGGCATTCTAATTTTGGAGGTGGAGTGAGTTCTCACGGCGGAGGTGGTGGCGGAGCAAGTTATGATCACGGCGGAGGTGGAGGGGTTTCTGATTATGGAGGTGGTGGAGGGGGTTATGATTTTGGAGGGGGTGGAGGATCATCCTTTTGGTGACAATTTGATATTCGTTGTAGCATAAATTTGATATTCATTCAAATGCTGCTTCACTCATTATTAGATATTAGATAGTTACAAATTTATGATTGATGATAATTTAGAGTTACGATAGTTTTTTAATATATTTTAAGATTTATTTACGCTAATTATGACTCTAAAGTATACATGATGGTTAATTATGATCATAAAATATGAAAATTACAACTCTTGAAATGCTTTTAAGTAAGGTTAATGGTTTTAATTGTGAGGCAACATAAAAGCTTAAAGTATACATATTGGTTAACGTTGTCTTCGTAAAGTAAACTTGAAAAACTATTAAAATGAGCATTTGTGCTCCCTTTTAGCCAATAACTAAATTTGTGTAGGTTAAGTTACATGTAGAATCATTGAAACTTGACATGATCAATTTTGCTTGTAGAGTGATTCGAATCTCAAACAAGTGTTCTCGCATTGGATAGTGTTTTTACTTCTCTTTTTCGATTTTATGCAGTTTAGATGGTATATTTAGAATCATTCAAGCTAGAAATTGCAAGTAGAGTGGAGTAGCTCAAATCTCAAACAAATATTATTGTCTTAAGATATTCGATCAACATAGTAATCCGAATAATCTGAACTAGCTGGATCCATTCCATTATGCGATCTTGGAATCGGTCTAAGCTGATTATGGAGAGACCAAGTAAAACACCCAATTAGATGAATGTTGATTAAGATAGTCAAAGGTGGTGGGCAAACGGTACAAGTTTTTGGAAGTTCAAAGCGTTTGAGTTGGGTTTAATAGGTCAAACATTTGTCATGAGTTTGGTTCCTATAAATTACAACCCACAATAACAGTTCATTGATGCAAGAGATATCGAATTGAGAGGCAAGATGGTTCCAACAGCAGTATTCATCATCCTACCCGTTGTCTTCGTTTCCCTCTGGATTACTATATGTGTGTTGAGTATTATTTGTCGGAGCAGAGTTTCTAATGGCAAAGTTAGCGGCGGTGGTGTTGGTGCTTATGATGGGAACCAAGTCAATATAGATATTGATGATGGTGGTAGCGGCGGATTTAACCACGACAACAACAATGGATGGGGCAGTGACGCTGGAGGTGGCGGCTATGACTTTGGTGGGGGAGGAGGATATGACTTTGGAGGTGGAGGTGGAGGCGGCGGAGGAGGAGGATGTGACTTTGGAGGTGGTGGTGGTGGTGGTGACGGTGGCGGAGGTGGGGGAGGAGGAGGAGGGTGTGATTCTGGAGGCGGCGGTGGTGGTGGAGGCTCATCTGGCTAATGACCACGGCAAGGAAGGATTTGGTTCACAGATACAAGATCATAATTCTTTTATTTCTCAAAAGTTCAATTTGTTCATTTGTACAACGACTTAATTGATTAAGATATTCGTAAAGACAATGTCTTTCACTTATATATATTCATGATCTTCTCCTTAATTAGTCGGTATAAGACTCAAACGCTCTCCAACAATCCTCCCCAAAGTATACCACGTAGAGCTTCCTTTGAGATCCTGTTCTCTAGAGCCCTCAAACAAATTATGTCATTTGTTCGACATTTGAGTCACTATGACTATATCTTCGAGGCACACAACTTTTTGTTCGACACTTCAGGATTTTATTGACATGATTAAGTTGAGATAAAAGCATGACTCTCATACCATGTTATGAGCAACCACCCTCCGCATTATATGATATTGTCCATTTTGAGTATAGATTCTCATGGTTTTACTTTTGATTTCCTCAAAAGACTTTTTCGTACCAATAGAGATAGTGCCCCTCGCTTATATACTCATGATATTCCCCTTAATTAGTCAATGTGGAACTCCAACATTTGGTATCAGACTCGTACCTCTCCTAGTCAGATGTGATTCGGGGACGAACTAAGGTAGAAGCTAATGAACATGTGACACACAAGTAAAGGAAAGGTACATGAATGAACCGAGACTACATCCAAATGAGAGTGAATCGGAGGATAGGATATATAACAAAGAAAGACTTTAAAAAAATGAAAGTTACTACCTATACTAATAAGATGTATTTTTTTTTTAATATCTCAATCATAGAAACATCATGGTTAAGCATGTGTATTACTTGGAACAATTTTATATTGGAGCATTTGGAATTACTCACGTACTTACCCTCGATTCAATTTCATCTCGTAACGTTGTGTTCATAGATCCCTAATATGTCTACAAGAGACTAAAATCCAGTTATATATAATTATAACTCAATTAATGAGTTATTATTTGTATTGGCATGTTATAATTGAACATGCTCTCCCGTGTATCAGCCTGTTAGGTTGAATTTAATGACGGTCGCAATAAATGAAGGGAAGAAAGGCAGAGCGAAGACCCGGAGTCTTGGTCTTCCCTAAGTCCACACGGCTCTTTCCTTCTGGCTATAAACCTGCCCATCCAGGAGCCCTCTAACCAGATAATCATGGCGCCCGAGCTCACAAAGATTGTCTCCCATGTCCATCCAAACCACCCTCTAAACTATTATTCCGACCCTCATGTTTACACCTGTCAGGGCTGCAAGACCTCCGGCATTGGTAACCGATTCCGATGCCATATCTGCTCCGTCGACGTCCACATCTACTGCCTCGATTGCCCACCTCAATTAGCCTCCTTCCTCCACACTCACTCCCTAGCTCTCTTGCCCTGTATGGACCATCGGAGCTGCGACGTTTGTCGTGAACGCATCGAGGGCTTGTTCTACCGATGCGATAGCTGTGACTTCGATGTGCACCCACTTTGCACCCAACTCCCCGAGCAGCTCCACCATGGCATCGACAAACGCCATAAGCTCAGGCTCCACAAGCTCTCCTCTGGCCGTTGTTCTGTTTGCGAATCGGATTGTTCTTATCTCTGGGTCTACAGCTGCAATGTTTGTCGAGTCAATATCCATCCCCAATGCATCCTCAAGCCGTATGGTCCGCGCCGGAGTGAGAACCCGGCTGTCCCGCCGTCGGATTCTCGCTCAATACCATATGCGCACGAGCCGTCGGGGTTTGGCGGTTATGGTTATGCAGGAGGAGGAGGAGGCCATTCTTCCCATTGGAGATTTCCGAATGAACCTAATTCTTACAGATCTGTTCAATTTCCACACAACAATCCAGACCATTCTTCCCGTTGGAGATTTCCAAATTTTCATTCTAGTTATCCAACTCAACCTAATTCTTACGGATCTGTTCAATTCCCACACAACAATCCAGACCATTCTTCCCATGGGAGATTTCCAAATTTTCATTCTAGTTATCCAACTCAACCTAATTCTTACGGATCTGTTCAATTCCCACACAACAATCCAGACCATTCTTCCCGTGGGAGATTTCCAAATTTTCATTCTAGTTATCCAACTCAACCTAATTCTTACGGATCTGTTCAATTCTCACCCAACAATCCAGGCCATTCTTCCCATGGGAGATTTCCAAATTTTCATTCTAGTTATCTAACTCAACCTAATTCTTACGGATCTGTTCAATTCCCACAGAACAATCCGTGTCCGAGGCCAATTTATGGCGGACAGACATCGTCACTGTCGTCGTCCCTCTGGGGATCGATGTTTGGGGTTACAATGATTTCTTCTTTGGTTGAAAATTTAACAGTAGGCGCTGTTACCGACTTTATTTTTGGTTCCAATTCCTAATTCTTCATCTAATTAGTGTGCTTTGTTTATCATCTTAAATTAAAAATGGTTTTGACTTACGTTCCTTCGAGTTGTATCGTTGATAATGTATTGAAGTATTTTGTGCATCATTTAGTTAAACTATAATTTTATATCTGGAACTTGAATCATGTTGTGTACTCATATGTATGTGGATTTACTCTCCAGATATGTTATTTTGTGTTATATTTCTTTACGTTGATTTTGGCTGTGTGAGAGTCCACAAGTCCTTAGGCAAGTTGAGGGTTTAACCTATAATATGTTATTCTCTGTTCTATTTCTTTACGTTGATTTTGACTTTGTGAGAGTGGACTTGACTTTGTGAGAGTGCACAAGTCCAGTCTCAATAATTGTGTGAGTAATTATGTCACGAAAATGAGTAAAAATTTTAAGAATAAATTTAGGAAAATGATAAGCCTCATGTGAGTCCTTATATATTTAGGTTAGGACTAACATATGTTAGAAAAAATAATTTAGAAATTTTAGAAATAAATTTAATAAAATGATTTAGGTAGGTTAGGAATAAAGATATCTAAATATTTCAGAAAAATACTGAGAAATTTTAGGAATAAATTGTCTGACCTCTACTATAAATACTCATCCACCCTACCTAAAGTTATCGTCTTAAGAAATACAAAGATTAAGAAGTGTCTTGTAATCTCTTGTTATTAATAAAGTGTGCGAGTGTTTCCCACAAAGATTTGTATTCAATATCACAGTGAGGTTGGTGTAGGGTGTCTGATCTCTTGGAATTTTTAGTATGCTCTATGGTTGCAGCTCTGTCTGATCTTCACATCATAAACGATTTATTGAGATTATTAGTGAGTGAATTTTTTTGTCTTGTGAGTAGTCCATAACTCTGCAAGTTTTGTGTCGAAAAGGCTTGTTTGGTATTACTTAGGTCTTACCAACAAGATGGGTGATTTCCAAATTGTTGGAGAAATTAAGAAACTCAATAGCAACAATTACAACAAGTGGGCAACATGGATGATGTCCTACTTACAAGGACATCACTACCTTTGGGAGATTGTGGGCAGGAGTGAAACTACGACGCTAGGAGAGGATTCTAACAGCGCTTGTGCAAATGGAGAATCAAATCAGGCAAATCAATGTTTGCTTTAAAGACCACAATATGTTGAAGCATATTTGGGATGACAAGACACCGAAAGAAACATGAGACATTGGAGATAGAGGAAGAGCAGAGAAGACAAACTGCCATTGGAGATCGAATCCAAGGCAAGAAACTTCGAAGCATACTTCTCTCAGTGTTGGAAAAGGAGTTTGGGTGATGGATCCACTCATTCCGGCAAGAAAATCTAAGAACGGACAAAGTAAGGTTTAAAACTTCTTGTTTCGATTTTATCTAGATATGAGGAGTTTCTTGAGCGTTAGATCTGGAGTTTTTGAGGTATATAACTAAAATAAGATTTACACAGGTTTCTTGAAGTTCCTGGACGAAAATCGGAGTTTAGTCAGAGTTCGGGTAAACCGATCAAAAACAGAAAATGTGAGTTTTTCCGTATCTTTGGACGACCTTAACTCATTGTGTGCTCAAGGAAAAAATAAAGGAAAAATATATTGTAGAAGTAGATCTACAATTTTCGAAAAGAGACTTTGTTGATATGGATTACGGATTGAAAGATAAGAAAATCCAAAGAAAATAGAGCGAAAACGCGAAAATGCGAACATCCGGAAATTTGAAACACACGCAGGAGAGAGAAAGAGACCACCACGCGTCGATCGGCGAATGAAAGAGCGCGGCGGAGCCGGCGTGCGTCAGGTGGCAGCGTTCCATTAGTGCGCTGAGTCGGGTCGACCCGTACGCCTGCCAAATTGGTCTGGAATCCTGCGGTCCAACCCGACGTTTCCCGCCAAACACTGTGCGCCATGTGTCACGCTCGTAAAATTTGAAGGTTCGCGGCCGCTGGGGTTCAAAACGCGGCACTGCCTACGTGCGTGCCGGTGTGTGTGGGGACCTGCTAGCGCGTGGGACCCCATTCTCTCACTCGTTTGGCCTCTGTTTGCTTGTTTTTTTGCCCCGATTTCAACTCTGATCCTATTTTTATATGAATTAGGACCTATCAAGGAAATTTCAGAATTTTTGGAACCTTTTCCGGCAAATAATTCGAGCTTGGGAAGGCACGCGTCAACCATGTAAGTAGCCATTTGGATTCCCACGAGCAATACTTGTAGGAATCGCTAGGAACAAGCATGCATGCTACCACCCATTAACTTAGCTAGCCGGACCTTGCATATTAGTATGGAAACTGCGAAAATGAAATGATTAAGGAAATCTAGATACGAAATGTTTAATTAAATCTGTTTTGATTGAGAATCTGATAAAGTATGAAGAGGATGGGAAACTTGTGAAATCTGCGCTCTGGGTGAAGATGGACGTTATCTTCCCGTTGAGCATGTTTGTTAATATTGCATGAACTGTTGCGTGTGAACTCTTATGCATGATGATAGCTTGTGTTATCTTTCTTGTTGAATAGGAAGGAATTATGAGCGTGGATTAGGGTGCTTGTGACTAAGTAGGCTAGACGAGATCTTAGATTGGGAGACCTCTAGAACACCGTGCATATAGACCCGCGAAACGATTACTGGCAGATCCAGAGCCCATAATTCCAAACCCGATAGGTTTGTGAGACCAGGCACGAGAATCCTAGAGATGCATGAATCCAAGTCTAAGCCACCAAGTTCCACCCTAGAAAGGATAGTAGGACACCATAGTAACTGTAGGTAGCCCGCTAGAGTTGAGCAGTGTGGGTAGTGTCATCAGAACCTCCATTTCCCTTTCTGCTCCTATACCGTACTGTCGAGACAGAGCTCCGATACGAAGATCGTTGAGCTTGGCCAATCCGGATAGGGAAGTGTGACAGGTGCCAAGACTTAGTGGTAATAGTTAAGGGGTCTTCTGAACAGGACTCCTAGGCCGTAGAAACCCGTCCCTGAGTGGGGGATGTGGAGCCACGTAGGATGACTCAGTAGCTGACCGGCACACAGGGGGTCGCACCCCGAATTTAGTAGATGTATGATCCCGTGTGAGGGTCGTCAGCTAACCTCCACGGATGATGTTCAGAGAGAGTCACGTATTCAGATCCAGCCATACGATCCCCTCAGATTTACTTATGAGGTCGCGCCTCAACTCAAGACACTAACCATTTCACTGCATAAGATGGGCAAGCCTCCTAAGATACAGAAAAGAGAGTTGTAGCGTGATTCGTACTCACTAGATCCCAGAGATAAGACCGTGGATACGTACTAAGATAAGGATGCGAAAAGAGCCTACAAGTAGGTTGCTTACTGAGTATAATTTTATACTCACCCCTTTCTCCCCTTTTTTTTCAGGTACCAGTCGATACGGGGAGGTGTTCGAGAGCTGAACTGTCACAGAGGGGTGTCGTTCCGGAGTGTCAATCCCTTGTCGGTCTTTTAGAGTCCTTTGTCCGTTTTCATATTTAGAGTTTTTTGTATTTCATTTTATATTTATAACAATTGACTTTGATTTTATATTTAATTTTGGTATCCTTGATTTCCTTTTCTTGTTTTAAATTTTGCTGGATTTTTACCTTCCATTTTACCTTCTTTTTATTTTTATTTGTTTTCGATTTCGTCTTTTTAGTCACGATTCGATCTTTCGAAGTCTTGAAAGTCGGGTCCTAACATCCGCCATTGGAGAATCTCGAATAAAAAGAATCATTATCCACAAATTGCAATCAGAATATAGAAGCCTCGTTATTGCTGTACGAGGATGGCTTGCTCAACCATCACTTGTAGAGTTTGAAAATTTGTTAGCCAGCCAAGGAGCTATGGCTAAACAAATGGGATGCATCACATTGAAGAGTGAAGAAGCACTCTACACAATTGAAATTCGGAGCAACAATAAATCATCTACCAAATATGAATACAAAAATTTTAACAAAGGAAGAAGCCACCAAGGAATTGCACAACTAGGGAGAGCTCAGAAGAACGACAACAAGAGCTCTCAAGGGAAGAGATTTGAAGGTGTTTGCTACAATTGCGGGCACATGACCATGGATTGTTGGTCTAGAAAAAAGTCTATCAAAAGCAATGTGACATTCTCCAACATGGAGATGGAGGAGGAATGAGATACAGAGGTACTATGTGTCATAGAAGAAGACGAGCTAGCTCTCATGGTGATGATGGGAGAGCATATCGAGTATGAGAATGATTGGATCGTTGATTCAAGATGCTCAAACCACATGACTGACAATCAGAGAAATTTGCAAGATAAGAAAGAGTACAAAGGAAGCCGTATGGTACGCACAACAAATAACACACAGTTGTCAATTGCTCAGATCGACAATACGACAATCATGCCTCACAAAAAATCTGATATAGTGTCACTACATAATGTTTATCATGTACCGGGAAAAAAAAAAGAACTTGTCAGTGTCACAACTAACAACATCAGGAAAATATGTCTTGTTTGGTCTAGAAGATGTGAAGTGAAAGTCTACGAAGATATTAAGATAACAGAAAATCCAACAATGAAAGGACGAGGAGTGGATTCTGTTTACGTCCTATCTGCAAGGTCTACTTATGTTGACAAGACCCGAAAGAATGAGATAACAGATCTATGACATGCAAGATTGAGACATGTTGGCTACCACAAGTTGAAGCTGATTATGGAGAAATTAATGCTCAAAGGCCTACCTCAACTTGAAGTCAAAACAGACGTTGTCTGTGCTAGATGTCAATATGGTAAAGTTCATCAATTACCATACAAATAGTCAAATTTCAAAGCAAAAAAAAACCATTAGAATTAATTCACTCTGATTTGTTTGGTCCAGTCAAATAAGCATCGATGAGTAGAATGCAGTATATGGTGACGTTCATTGACAACTACTCAAGATGTGTGAATTTTCTTTATGAAAGAAAAGTCGGACACGTTCTCAAAATTTTAAGAATTTAAGATGATGATCGAATGAGGAGTAGGAGTGAAGATTCGTTACCTACGTTCAAAAAATGGCGGAGAATACACATCAAATGAGTTCAATCAATATTTACACAAGTGTGAGATACGACATCAGTTTACATGTGCCAACACACCACAACAAAATGGTGTAGTAGAAAGAAGAAATTGACACTTTGGGCTGAAATTATGCGAACGGCTGCCCATGTGATCAATAAGATTCCCCAACCAAGGCTAGGTTTCATCTCACCATTTGAGATACAATGGGACATGAAACCTATGGTTAGCTACTTCAGAGTATTTTGTTGTGTTTGCTATGTATTTGTATCTGACAATCTAGGTAGCAAGTTTGACAAGAAAGCAATAAGTGTATATTTGTTGGATTTGACAATCAAAGAAAAAGGTGGAAGTGTTGTGATCCAACAAGTGGATAATACAGTACATTAAGAGATGTAGTTTTCGATGAAGCATCTTCATAGTGGCCCTCAGAGAAGAAAGACTTACCATATTCAAATAACATCGAAGAAATTTTATAGTAGAAGATGAGGGAGCAAACTATGCACGTTCAGTCAAATATTGATGTGCTTGAAGATCCAAGTGACATTGATGTTGACGAACAAGAAGTGACTCAATCAAGCATAAAATTGAATTGAAAAATTGTAACGCTAAATAAAAAAAAATGTCGGTCAAAGTGAGAGGGGCAAAAAGGGCATTCTGCCCCTCAACCCTTATAGGGGGCTTGAGGATTTTCAACAAAGCACCTGCAAAAGAGAAAAGTGTGAGAAGAAAAGTTGGAGAGAAAAACTTGAGAGGGAAAAGTAACGCGCCAGACTTCTCTGTTGTTTTTCGATAATCCGCAAGTGAAATCCGGTGAGAGGAAATCGTTTGACGGGAAGTTGTTGGAAGAAAATAAAAATGCGAAAAATAACAAGGAGAGAATTGCTGAAGACTTTTGCTTAAAATGAGGTGTAAAAATATATGGAGAGTGGCCAACTAAATCTGTGCCCCTTCTTATAAAATTGCCATCTAAAAGTTTGGTAATCTATTGGACGTGGTCGTCAAATGGTCAAACGAAGGTATTCAATCAACTAATGAAAACGTGTAAATCTAAATAAGAAAAACCTCAGGTAAAATCTCAGGTTTTATCTAACAATCTCTTCCTAAAACCTGTGGTATATCTACCTTATTTTGTTTGAACTCCGATTTGAGCCCTATGGCTCGGTGTCCCTGGCAGCATGTCCTCCAGACTCCACGTCTTGTTCAGCCACCTCTTCTTCGAGCTGGCGCGCCACCCGTCCAGGTGGTTCACCTCTTCCTAATAGATCTTCCATCCTCCGGTACCTGGCCGAGAGGTTGACTGATTGCTCTATCTCCAACTCTAGGATGTAAAGGCAGTTTGCCGTGCACCGAACTTGCGTGAGCAACCATTGTCGATCATCGTGGATCCTCAGTAGCCCGCACTTGATTGAAATGTGGCAGCCGGCCTTATCGAGTTGACCCAGACTCACAATATCAGCCTTGAGCCTCGGGATGAAGTAGACGCTGGTCAGCTTGTGGTGCTTGTCTCCGTTGCCGACGAACAGGATGGTGTCGTGCCCTTCGATCTCAACGACGGAGCCGTCGCCGAATTTCACCATCCCGCAAATCCTCGAGTCAAGCTCCGATAACGCAGACTTGGCCTCGCTCATATGGTTTGTTGCCCCCGTGTCGAGGGCACATCGCCGATGCTCTTGCTGCTCGCCTCTTTCACCAATTTGAGCGAACACTCACTCCTCCTTTAGTTGAATTGGCTCCCCAGCCGGTGCCTTACACTCACTCCTCCTCCAGTTGAATTGGCTCCCCAGCTGGTGCCTTTGTTATGCACAGTTGGATCTCTTCCTCGGGTTCGACGCTCACCGGAGCAGTTATGCCGTCGTCGATTACCTCAGTGGATTTGGGGAGCTCTTCCTCGGGTTCGACGCTCACCGGAGCAGTTATGTCGTCGTTGATTACCTCCGTGGATTTGGGGAGCTCTTCCTCGGGTTCGACGCTCACTGGAGCAGTTATGTCGTCGTCGATTACCTCCGTGAATTTGGAATCGGAATTAGGGATGTCAGGTAGGACTGATGCAGTCACCATGAAAAGAGCCGGCTCGTCCTCCTCGGATTGAGCCACATGGGCCTTCTCGGCCGTCTCCTTGTTCCTGAGCTTGCTCCAGCAATTCTTGCTCAAGTGACCTCTTCCCACAGTACGAGCACTGTATTGGCCCTTCATTAGTCGGCTCCTTCTTTTCATCAGCCTCTTTCCCACGCATGCGCCCGCGAGATTTCTATGGCTTCTTACCGCCTTTGCGGCTGGAGGACCCATTGCTCTCGCCGGTGTCGTCACGGAGCTTTAGGTTACCGCCTTTGCGGCTGAAGGACCCATTGCTCTCGCCGGTGTCGTCATGGAGCTTTAGGCGTGCAAGCCATTCCTCCTCCGTGAGGAGTAGACAACTCTCCTTGTTGAGAGCTAAAACAGTATTGCCCATTGCTCTCGCCGATGTCGTCACGGAGCTTTAGGCGTGCAAGCCATTCCTCCTCCGTGAGGAGTAGACAACTCTCCTTGTTGAGAGCTGAAATAGTATTTTTCTTCCACTGCTCGACGTTACGCAGTCTTCCGATCACCTCTTCCACCATTAGGTCGTTCACGTCAAGCAATGTCTCAATTGAAATTGCGACTTGCTCGAGGTGATCGGGGACGACCTGCAGCATCTTCTTCACGATTTCTGTCTCGCTCATGCTGCCACCGAAAGTGGTGATGCTGTTGGCAAGCCCCGTGATCCGCATTGAAAAATCATCGACGGATTCGCCGTCCTTAAAGCGGATCTCCGAGAGCTCCTGCTGCAGCTGCTCGATGTTGGATTTCTGCACTCGTTGTACACCGACCCGATGGTATTTGATTCCCTTGTAGGCCGATTGTGCGGTGCGCTTGGTGGAGAGAGACGTCTGGGGGCACAGATCGTAAATATGGTGGCGAACGCCAGCCGATCCTCCCGGTACTCAATCGTTTCTTCTTCCTCTGGCTCGACAGCGTACCATAACCCTTGCGCCTGTAGGTTGATGCGCATCAACAAGGTCCACTCGTTGTAGTTGGACCTTGTCAACATCGGATATTGAACGATAGCGGTCGTTGTCTCCCTGATCACTCACTCAACGACAACTCGACGCCCGTCATCACGGCGTCGGCCTCTTCGTGGTGGTGATGGAGATGCTGGCACTTGGTGGCGGTGTGGAGGAGTGAGCGAGCCTGCTCGGGATGGACCCCACGATGTGTATTTTTGTGCTTTGCATTTTCTTCTACTCAAACCTAAGATCTGTGCGTTGTTAGGTCGACGCTCTAACCACTTGAGCTATTCAACTTGACTGTTGATAAGGTTGGCTCCTCCGCAATGATATACCACCGATGGCTTCAACTGGGCTCTGATACCACTTGTTGTTTTTTGATAATCGGCAAGTGACATCCGGTGAGAGGAAATCGTTTGACGGGAAGTTGTTGGAAGAAAATAAAAATGCGAAAAATAACATATAGAGAATTGCTGAAGACTTTTGCTTAAAATGAGGTGATAAGATCTTCTAAACAGATTTACCTATTTAAATATCTAAGTTATCCTTAAAAATGGCTGGAGAATGGCCAACTAAATCTGGGCCACTTCCTACAAAATTGCCATCTAAAAGTTTGGTAATTAGACGTGTTCGTCAAATGGTCAAACGAAGGTATTCAATCAACTAATGAAAACGTGTAAATCTAAATAAGGAAAACCTCAGGTTTTATCTAACATTCTCGTCGGAGAACCACCATCGAAGTTCACTCTCGACCAAGACTTACACGTTGGAGCTTCTTCTTGAAGAAAAGGAGGACTCGTGTTTTTGAAGTTCCATCTTCTGTCAAGATTCGAGAGAAATCCGCAAGGTGAGATCTCGAACGTTCCTCTTCATATATGAGATCTTTCTTTAGGAATAAAGTGCTAAAGGTTGTTATCTTCATCTAGGGAAGATCTGCGGTTGATTTCGTGAAGAAAATCAGACAGAACGATGAGATCTGAGAATTTTTCCAAGAACGGTAAGGATGTTAATGAATCTCCTTGCGACGCTCATAATTCATCATATGGTTAAATAAAAATCATGAAAAAAATACTAGCACATAGTTTGTAATATGATCTAAAACTTTGATGAAGAAATCGACTAGAAATCAGGAGAAAAAAAAAAATGAGAAGAACATCGAAAAACTAATTAGAAACTCATTTTTCTATAAGGAGGAGAGAGAAGGCGACGGTGTGCCACATGTCAACCGGCAAGAGGTCTCCCGTGTGCCGATAGCCACTAGACACGCTTCGAACGATGCCTAGAGCGATGCAGTTCCAGTCTTCCAGCGACACGCGTCCGCAGCACCGTCAACCCAACCCGCATTCCTCAGCCAACCCGGTACCCGCGCGACGAACCGAACCACAGCGACCTGCGGTCCAACCGAATCACCATACCCGAACCAAATCGACGACCCGCGGCTACAAAAAAGCGCCCAAGAGTAGAACCTGCGAGTGAGCTTGTCCCGACGCCTGGCTAGCGCGTGTAAGCTTTTTTTCATCTCATTCGACTCCTGTTTTCCCTATTTTCCTCTTGAATCCAATTCTAATCCTATTTTTATATAAAATAGGATCTAATTGGAGAAAATCAATATTTTTGGACACGCTATTTGTGTAGAAACGCTAACGTAAGGGCTTGTGTCATCCAAGCAAGTCGGCATACGGTATTTAGGAAAATATACTTGTAGAAATCGCTTGGTTGCATGCATGATAGTCTATTTCCTTATATGTAACTTTCCATGGATTGATGTTAGGTATTGAATATGGATGTAATATGGAGAACTATCTGAGTGTTACGTTTATGTTTTAAGCTTTTATTTTATATGTATATGTTTAATTCATGCTGAAATGAGGAAGGGAACTTGTGAAATTTGCGCTCCAAGAGATTGATGGATATATCACCCCGTTGAGCATGTTTGTTTATTGTTGCATGAATGTTGTATGATGATGCTAGATATAATGGGCACACTCTGTTAGCTTTCATGATTTAGTTTAACGATAAGACTAGGGTTTTGTGGTTAGAGTGACAAGTCCCCAAGTGAAGACCTGACCCTTCCCTATGAGCCTAAGAAACTACCACGATATACGAACCACATCTAGAGTACCCTTAGGTTACTTGTGTGCGATTGGTGTTATAGCTTCGTGGGGGACTAGGGGGTTCCTGATGAGGACTCGATTGCTCTATAGCCGTTTTAGTATGGGAAACGGGAGACCCACGTCGTAACAGACCATTTAGTTGGATGGGATAGAGGGAGGTAGCCCTCCCCAAATAGGGGATTAACATGAGACTAAGGGGTTGCAGCTCACTTCCTGGGACTAGGAACAGGGGGATTACCATGGGACTAGGGGATTACCACGTCGTAACACACCAATAGTCTCATAGCCATGCTGAGGTAGCTACTCGCAGGGCACCAGTCAAACACAGGTTGGCGTAAGGGGACTCTTAGGGTTTAAATGAAAGAACAAAAAACCAAAGAAGCCCAAGGGGCAAGCCCCAAGGAGCTAACACTAAAACTAGATGTCCTAGAGGAGCCAAAGTAAAGTCTGTAGGAATTTGTTAAGATTAAGATGCGATAAAAGCCTACAAGTAGGTGGCTTACTGATTATAAATTTTATACTCATCCTTGCTATATTTTTTTTTCAGGTACGTGAGGCGTTGGGTCAAGAGAGGGCGCGCTGAGAGATGTGGATTGTCATAGTGAAAAGCATGTCCCGGGGCGTCAGTCTGGTCTTACCTATTAGTACACTTTGTCCTTCATGTTTTTTTCTATTGTCTAAAACTAGTCACCTATGATCTCTTTGTATTGAAACATTCTTCTTACAAAATAAATGATTGATTTTTGAAATGATGTTTTCCTTTGAATTTCTTGCATACACACTAGTCGTTTTGAGTCACGACTTATGGTTAATTATTGAGTCGTGACACACATCAACAACTTAGACGATCAAATAGAATCCGAAGATCAAATCCTAAGTATGTCAACGCAGCTATTGTAGAAGACGGAGTTAATGAGCCAGAGACATGATGAAGGATCACAAAACTCGGCTTGGTAGAAAGCGATGAAAGAAGAATACGGATGACCAAGTAGCAAACCTATTTATATAAGGGTTAACATGAGAGCTTTCATTGTTAGCTCAACATGATGCAACATATGAGAGCTAGTGCTGAGGATAAATATCATCACTAACTCAATAGGTTTAAGCCCAACAATTATGTGAGTGACTGTGTATTTATGTTAGGAAAATGATTAGAATTTTAGGAATAAATTTAGAAAAATGATTTAATTATATTAAGAATAAAGATATCTAAATATTTTAAGAAAAAAAAGTTATATTTTAGAAAAAATGAAAGAAATTTTAAGAATAATTGTCTGGCCTCTATTAGAGATATCCTCTGCTCTAACTAGTTATCTTCCTAAGAAATACAAAATAGTGGTATTCTACACCAAAGTGCCTTATGATCTCTTCTCAATTAGTCTTAAAGAGTGCGACGATTTCCCACAAAGATTTGTGTTCAACATATTCACCTAATACCACGTAGAGTGCGTTCTTAGATTCTTCAATTGGTATATGCTGACATTTGTGGACCATATCTCCTTGCTTCGAATGTCTATAGATTCAAAAAAACAATTAGAGCTATTTTTGAAGAAGAAAATTTATGGGGTTTTAACTATAACCTCTACCTTGGTTTGAATGTTACTTAATAACTTGAAATGAACATCCTAATATACAAATTCAACTTGGGAGTGAGGGAGGTGTATGGAATCTTTCATAGTTGGTTAAGAAAAAAAAACAAAGCCCATGTGACAGTGACCTGTAAGAACAAGTCAAAGAACCAAAAAAAAAAAAAAAAAAAAAAAAAAAAAAAAAAAAA